AGATAGTTCAGCTGCTAAAACTTGGAGGGGCGAAAAATAAGGGTGAGTGGGCCTGAAAATAAAGTTTTATAAAAACCTTTTTGAAAACATTGTAACCCCTCGCCGTAAAACAAGTATAGTTTCCCAAAAATCATACTACGTATAAGTATGAAATCAAATGCATGCCAACAATAAATCCATAAATATACCATAGCAGAATATCTCAACGGCAATATGAATATAATCATAAGCTCAATATATACTAGCATGCAAGTCGGAGTCACCTAATATGACTTGTACGATTGCACCTATTGCTCATCAATCTATGCTAACACACGAGTCAGAGTCACCTAATATGACATGTATGATAGGCTAGGTGTAATAATATACGCTCTAGTGCTACGATCACGTGAAGCTAGCGTTATGCGTGGTCACTTACGAGTCAAAGTCGCCTAATGTAACCTGTACGACAAGCTAGGATCCAAGGCAAGCGTGCAGTGCGCGAGGTGAACAATCACGTGAAGGCTGGCCCTGACCCTGGTCCGGGGTGGGAGCACTAACACCGGAGTACAATAATGATGAGCACTACATGAATATATGCATGCCATAATGATTCAATGATTGTAACCAATATAATAAGCTTACCCAAACTTACCTGCGCATCTCATAGGATCATTTTCGCATTTCACTATAGCGCAACATTTCACATAACATAATTTAATCATGGCATGAAATGCATAAATCACTTCAATATATACACACACACACACACACACACACACTATAAAAAGAAAACTACCCGCTCACCTAGAGTTCGCGCTAGCGTCACAAACGATTGGCCCCTAAAATAATTATCAAATCACGTCTTAGAATTCTTATTGATAGAACACATAACTTACATAAAACACATCCCCCAAGGACGTTCTAGAATGATTTGAAACCCATTGACCAAAAGTCAACCGTCGGTCAAAGGTCGACGGTTGGATCCATAACCCTACGTAACTCGATCCGAAAAATCCGCACCTCGGATTTCCAATCTGTAACTTCCAAAGATCCACATTATGCTTTTAGAATATCATACTAAAGTTTCATTACGATCCAACAGTTAGATCTCCGTCAATTGAAAATTCAAGTGGTGGTCAACATTTTATTTTACGAGCTTACAAATCCAATTTGGGAAGATCCATATGTCGGATTCCTGATCCGTGAGTTTTGAATATCCTCATATATTATGTGCTATAATGTATTAAAGCTTGGTGACGATCCAACGATCGAATCGTCGATTCAAATAATGACCAAATGGCAAACCTTAGCGAAATTGTACCCAAACAATGGAATTTCGTTAATCGGACTTCACATATGGAATTGGAGTATCAAATTTAGCCTAGAAAGGTCAGGTGGGGTCTTGGCCCACGCGCCGCCGCACGCGGTGGCTGGCCGCCCTAACTTGCCTAAAAATTCAACTATTCTAAAAATTACCAAATTTCATAGGAAAGAAGATCTCAACGAGTAAAGCAAGTTTTATACCTGTGGCCAAGTCCAATTTGGCCTGGAAAAGCCCCAAATCGGCTCGCACCTATTGGAAACCCTAGAATAGGTGAACTTCGATTCTCCTTCCTCGGTGTTCCAACACCCCTGCAACTTGTTAGGTCTTGTTCTTGGGCTCAAGGAGAGTCGATTATGGGTGGTAGTTTGTCACATCCCAGTCTTGACTCCGCCGTAGCACAATAATGTTCGTTTTGGGCTTACCATTGCCTCATGGATTTGTTTCTGGAAACTCAGACGAAAACTTCCCAGTGAGTCACCCATCCTAGGATTGCTCTTATCCGAACTTACTTAACTTTAGAGTTCCGATGGAATCCGAAGCCAGTGAGTTCCCAAAAGGCCTCATGCTATAAGGAGGAGAACATGTACATATAAGGCACATCACCCCCTCTCCGTTGGTCAATGTGGGATCTTACAATCCACCCCACTTAGGGGAACCCGACGTCCTCGCCGACACATCCGTACCAAATGGTAGAGTGACTCTGATACTATTATGTCATGTCCCAGTCTCAGCTCCGCCGTAGCACGATATTGTCCAATTTGGGCTTTCCCTCACAGTTTTGTTTATGGGAACTTACACTAAGACTTCCCATTAGGTCACCTATACTGGGATTGCTTTCGCCCAAACTCGCTTAACTTTGGAGTTCCGATGGAATCCGAAGCCAGTGAGTTCCTAAAAGGCTATAGGGAAGGGAACATATAAATATAAGTCACATCACCCCATCTCCGTCGGTCGATGTGGGATGTTACAATCCACCCCCTTAGGGGCTCGACATCCTAGACGGCACATTCGCACCACATGGTAGGGTGGCTCTGATACCATTCTGTCACATCCAGAATGGACAATATTGTGCTACGACAGAGTCGAGACTGGGATGTGACAGAATGGTATCAGAGCCATTCTGCCGTTCGGTGCGGATGTGCCGACGAAGACGTCAAGCCCCTACGGGGGGTGGATTGTAACATCCCACATCGACCAACGGAGAGGGGGTGATGTGCCTTATATGTACATGCTTCATTCCCTATAGCACGAGACTTTTTGGGAACTCACTGGCTTTGGATTCCATCGAAACTTTGAAGTTAAGCGAGAACATTCCTAGGATGGGTGACCCATTGGAAAGTTCTCGTTTGAATTCCCAGAAACAAATCTGTGAGGGAATGGTAAGCCCAAAGTGGACAATATCGTGCTACGACGGAGTCGAGACTGGGATGTGGCATGGTTGGTGGTGCAGCTTGCCGGATCGACGAATCGCTGTCGAGGACCTCCGGGTTCTTCGGTGAAGTTCTACATGAAAATGGACCTAAAACCCTTCAATCTTGGGCTGAAATGGTAGAAGGTAAATGGTGGAAGAAGTTGCAAGTGAAGGATGGATGCAAAACGCCTGAAAAAATGGTGGATTTGGCCGGAAACAACCCGGGTCACCGGTGGGTTGTGGTGTGCACGGGTTGACGAAATGGGGAGGGATGTTTCTCTCTCTTGATTGGTGTTAACTTCTCACGCTTGATTGGTCCTTCCTTTTTCCCTTAAATTTCTAATTGGTCGCTTAACAACAATCTCATTGGGCCTCTTTCCCACAAGATAGGAGTTCAATTTATTTAACTAAACTTTAAATAACCAATTTCAAACGTCTGTAACTGTACCATATAATCCGGACTTGCGAACGGCTTTAGTGATGAGTACTACAAGGATATGCTAAAAGAATGAGTCCTAGTCTCTCTAACCGATGGTCAACGAAAGTCCAAATCTTTGCCTCTAAGGGCATTTTTCGTAAAATCACTATTTTAAAATTTATAAAATTGTAAAGGTAGGGACGGGTTGTATCCTTCCATCGCCTTCTTCGCCACAAAGCCATAATCACCACTCTTTCTCCTCTGTGTAGAAGGTGAAAGCATTTTTTCCGATATTTCCCGGCATAATTGTAAGTGGGGAAATCAATGGCAAACAAATTGAAGTTGTCACCCTCTCGGCCGAATTCTAGGCACTCTGATATTCCTTTTTCAATCCGCTTACATTTTTAGCCATACGTAGATAAATAGACACATCTCACTACACTAATCAATGCCATTCATGATGACAAAGGGCTTTTCTAGGGATTTTTTGAAGATTGAGGTATGTTTAATTTTCTCTACTTGTTTTCAATTTCCTTTTATGCATATTTGGAATAGTAATTGATGCAGAATAAGAACTCTGTTATTATCTAGCATTATTAATTTGTTGAGAATTAGACATCATTACTTTCTTTCACTTTTTTGATATAGTTTTATCACACTACTAACATAACTCATGCAAATTGAGGAAGAAAACGTTAATTCAAAAATTAATCATCAAAGACAAGGGAATTTTTGTTTGTAGAAATTCATCGAGTGTAATTAAGTACTTTGTTTACATTTTTTTTAGTATAACGATATATTTTATATTAAAAGGAGGGGGAAGTTCGGTTAAGCCACATAATGAGCAACCTAATTTGGTATCGAATTCGTCATCCACAAGATTCAAACCTAAGACCTCTCACTTACAAGTCGTAATAATGTTGCAAAGCGAACATTGTACTTCTATTTGGGTTACACTTTTTCCATAATAATAAAAAAAAAAGATCACAATTTTGATTTTACAAAATTCATGATCTACAGAATGACTTTTTTGAGCTTTTTTTTTTTTTAGTACATCGATATTTTTACATTAAGGAAAATGAGAGTTCAGCTAAGTCACACAATAGGCAGTTTAATTTAGTATCGAATTCGACTTTTTTGAGCTCTTGACGTTTGTGACTTAACCAAAACAGAATCATGTCCATATATAAGAGCGAGTCTTTGAAATCTTAGTTAGACTATTTTCGTGCATTATAAAGTAAAGATAATATAATATTTGATATGAAAATATTTTCTCAAACTTGGGATTGGGATCGGACAACTCACCCCATTCAGTGTCAAAAAGAACGGATGCCAACTTTTAATCTTGTTCAAATTGAAGATAGAAGAGATAACTCAGCGGAATCCCGGAAACATTTCTTCTAATCATACCAATTAGGAAAGGGGTAAGCTTTCTTCATGATTATTGCGTATCTTCTACCTTCGACTTAGACAAGATCTGACATCGACCTCCATTTTTTGTTTCAATACATTGAATTATTAAATTATCTATTCAACAATGTATGTCATATTCTTAAATTCAATATCGGTCCAAGAAAAAAGGGAACTTTAACGAAAATCTTCCGGAACTGTTCATTTTAACGAAAAACCATATTTTTACACTAAAAAATCAATCCTGAAACTATTCACTTTATCCTTTATTTTGTCCTTATCGTTAAAACTCAAAGTTTTCAAATCTTTTTCATTAGTTTTCCTAAGAAAAAATCCCCCATTAACCTTCATGAGTTTTAATTATTGCATCTAACCCAGTTTCATAGGCCTTCATAACAGGAAGAGATTTAACAGAAACAAAGAAAATAAATCGGAAAAGCATATAACTCGTGAACTGAAATGAAATGGGGTATCAGCTTCCACTACTATTGATAACGAATCGGAGGACTAACAGCAACACTAGAGTTTTAACAAGTTCATCAAGGAAATGGACTAATGGAGCATCAGCTCATGGACAACCAATAGTTAGAGATATATCTTTCAGAGGAGACAAAAAATGGCTGTTGGAAAATGTAAATTTTTGGGCTTTCAGGGTTTCACCTTCTATCGCCTCGAACAAAATCTCGGATTCAGCTGCGTGAGGGGACCTTCAGGGTTTCCTGCTTCAACTCCCAGGGCGCATGGATGAGATGTTCACCTATCAAACTTTCCACAAAAATTCACCAACTCATGCTGCATAGCCCCAAAATTTGTATGTCAGCAAATTCTATTTGCATATATCACAAATCAGCCCCTTTTCGCTTCTTCCGTGACAGGACTAGAATTCGCTGCTGTATCTATATGCCAGTATTATTCTCAACATCCTCTGCTACATCGCCTTGCTGGCACTTTTTGTCAATCTCCATCATATCTTCCTCTTTAATGTCATTTATTACTTTAAGAAGCTCCAACGGAGTAGCTGCCGGATCCAGCTCCCGACAACCCTTTGGAGCATTTGCAGCTTCCTGACCCGTGATCAAGCATGAAGGGATTTGATGAGAGAACTGAAACAGCTCTTCTCTAGGGATCCTCCTGGCCTCTCTGGGATCCAAGTGCCGGTGAAATACTGTCTTGAAGCCAGCCACTTTCACCAAGGGAGTCACAAGTACACCTTGCTCCTCACTAAAGTCTTCAACAACTTCGACCATATCATACTTGTGAATGACATTGTCAGCTGTCAGTTCGTTCCAGTCCGGGGACCAATTCCGGTATAGCGCCCAAACATCCCCCTTCCTGGGATATATGCAGATAGCCCCTCGTGGACCTTTTGTTGACCGAACTCTGTGAGAAAAAGAATTAAGTGAATTACTCACTTCATATTTCCCTACTCGGAACTCCCCACACGTCTTTGAGAAGCCAGAGGATACCCAGTTAAGAGGACCCAGTTCACTATTTGTTTTTGAGTTCAGCCAGCTGATCCGCACTGTGAAAGGATCCACAGAAATCACCTTTTGAACTAACGCATAAAACCTTGGCATGCCATCATCATTATCATATGCAGCCCAGACCTGATTATCTTCAAAACACTTCTCTGTTCGATCCTTGTCAAAATCATGAAAATCAGAATCAGGAACATTTATCGACAATATGTCTGCATCTGAAGGGACACCAGAAATGCCAGAACCTTTCATGTCAGAAGAGCCATTCTTTGTGTCCACTGGCTCACCAGACTGCTTTTGATTTCTATGCACATCAATGTTTCCCAAAGATTTTTCTCTCTCGTTTCCATTCACCGTCTCTTTGGCTGCAGTCTTGGACACAGTGAATTCATTTAGTTTCTTCCGAATTTCTTTTCTAGCCTTCTCCCTTAGTAAATTTGGAATATCAATCTGGGAGATATCCCTTGTGATACTAGGCCTGGCGCTTCCGTTTGGTCCAGAAAATTTGGTTGTTCCAGCTCCTCCCACACCCATTTGATTTGTGACATCCCTTCCGTAGCTGCTGACACCGACATCTTCCATTCCTCTTCTTCTCTTGGCAGCATTAGGGTACCCTGTAGATGAAGCACCGCTTGCCTTCTTGGAGGATTGATGTTTCCTCCGTAACTCCTCTCTTTTTAATGCTGCTTGAGCCTGCTCCCGCTCTCTCTTGGCTTTCTCATATGCCTGGCTAACCACGTTTGCGGCTTGGGCAGCCGTAGAAGCACTTGATGCTTTAGAGAATGAACCCCATTGGAAGTTGTTTTGGTTGTACGATTGATTACCATTGAAACCAGCAGATCCAACACCCATTCTATCAGCTGTTTCATGCTTTGGTGGAGTTGACTTGGCACCATTTGTAGGTGGTGGAGCTATTTCTACTGCTAGAAATGGTTCATGGCAATTCGGGCAAAGAAGATTATGATTAAGATAAATCCTGAGATACTCATACTGCATCTTGCATTTATGACACACTGTCCAAAAGGTATTAGCTCTTGGTTTTTGAGATGAAGCAGGAGCTGAAGAGCGGCTGGCCCATGAGGTACCCTTCTGATTCTGTGAGGTACCCTTCTGAGTCTCTGTGGTACTCTTCTGAGTCTGTGTATTAACCTTCTGAGTCTGTGCGCCTGATGTTGTACCTTTTGTGAAATTGTAGAAACCATTGGCCCCTGGAGGAGCCTGTGAACTCCCACTCGCAGTTGCTACCCTTTGATGTACTCTCCTCTTCTGGTCATAGGCTACTCTCTTAGATTTATCAGACAACAAACTCCATGCTTCTGATAGTAGCTTAAACGCTCCATCAGCTCCTATAGACTTGTTCTTATCAGGGTGAAGCATAAGAGCTAGTTTCCTATATTGTTTCCTCACTGCCTCATCATCTGCTTTTGGATCCGCACCAAGTATCCCGTACCAATCAGCCTCCCCATTTATTTTGTTCTCCGCCGCAATATGCACATCGAGGGTTGCCAACATTTGGGGCATCCCCTCTAACCCCGGAAACAAATTTTGAGCCTTCAAGGCAAACTTCTTTGCCCCCATAAGATCCTTTGCTGTGAACTTTCTTTCCGCAATCTCTTTTGCCCTAGCCGCCTCATCTCTGTTGCACTCCATATTCCTATTCTATCTTCGTCCTCTCTAATGTTTGCTTACTGTTTTTACAGCACTTGAGCTTGAAGCCTTTTTTTAATCCTAAAGTAGTATAAAAAATCCCCAAAGCTACAAGAAAGCCAAGACTACAACTGCTACTTGCCCATGCTCCCAAATTACTCTAGCAATTCAGCAACCTTATTGTTCAAATTAGATAGAATTCAGTTAGAAAATTGTCATGAAAGTTGTATGCAAACATAAGTATCCAACAACAAATGCATATCGAATAGATATCCGGAAAAAAAAAAAAAAACAACGCTTTTTCGAGACCCTCGTTCTCACCACGCAACCACAACACAACCAAAATATTAATTCATACTCATTTAATGACGATATATGAGTCTAATTTAACTCTGAGGCTCAAAATTGACCAGTGAAGTGATAATTAGCTCAACCAAACATTCAGCCCATAATTACACAGATGCAAAATCAATGAAACTAAAAAGCACAACCCAAATCAGAGAATTGAAATCAGAAATCACAGCCATGGATCTAACTCAATCAGTTCCAATTCAGCTCCAAACAGATCGAATTTGATAAATTAAAGTCGGAAATGAAACCCTAGAATCAGTGATTCAGTGCACGAAATTCACTAAATTTTAGTAAAACCCTAGATTCAGAGATAAGTTTAATCACCTTATTATGTGAGCTGCGCTGGTCACTGGCTGAGGAATTTGAATCTCAGAGAAACACCATGGACGGACCTCCACCAATTTTTTTTCTTTTCTTTTTTCTGCCCCTCCTTCTTATTAGCCCAAATCTAAAAAATCCCCAAAACTGGCCCCTTTTCTCAAAAACAAACTTCTCACAACCTACGTATCCCAAATACCAAAAATTATAAAATAGAACAAGGGCATGGGCCTTCCTCTCTTCAAGTATTTATTCCCAAGTCTTAACCATAACCCAACATTTTTTCCCACCCTAACCATGGTTAAATTTTAACTCTTGAATTACAATTATAGAAATTTTATTGGGGGATAGGGGTGTGTGTTTGTGGTGGTGTCATACATGTTGCATCGTGAAATAACACGACAGTGTGTGATTGGTTTAAATTTGAGTCTATTTATCACAAAAAGTAAAAGTAAATGATGACACATTGTTTAGTGTGCAAATTCAATGACTTTAGAAATTCTAATGAGATAAATACAAAAGTAGATCTAAGTATTTCTAAGGTAAAAAACTTTATTTACAGTAGACTGTAGGGTTTGTAAACATCATATGCTTAGAATATTCTCTTTACGAAATAACATATTTTGAGAATATTACAACTTTCAGTTATCTTGTTGAATTTTATAATATTTGGTCTCGTGATACTCAGCCTTCATTTTTTACCTAAATATTGAATTAAAATATTATAGACGACAATCGTTGCTTTACTTTTTTATTCAAATTTCTTTATCCTTTTTAAATTAAAAATAGAAGGAACCCGCCACATAATACTACGGTCTAGTGATATTTCTTTTCACTTGTAAGTGAGAGGTCTTATGTTCGATTCTCTCCAAAGACGAATTTGAACTACATTATTGCTAGCTCATTGTAAGGCTAAGACCCACCCCTCTCCCTTAGTGTAGATAATATTGTTTATTTAAAATTATATATATCTCTACTAATTAATAAAACACTCATTGTCAACCAAAATCTTATGAAATTACCAATTTAACCCTCTAATTAAAACGGAACATGAATAAGAAATATGGGGCATAAATGTAATTTCACACAACCAAATTTTGCTATTTTTTTAAGCCTCATCTACATGTAATCCTAACTAACATATCTCTAAATAAAAAATAAAAATAAAACTTCTCACTCCCACATTCTCTATCACTCTCTTCCTCTCTCATTCTATTTCAAAAACAAAAATTAAAAAATTTCTCACACACTTTGTATGTGCCCATATGCTAGCATATAGAAGGAACCCATAAGAGGACTACCCACGTCTCTCGTTGGTGACTTTTCCTCCTCTTACCATCTACCCATTCTTTTTTTTTTCTTTTTTCCTTCCTCTTCTTTATATTTCTGTTTATACCAAATTTTGCATTATCGATCCGTTTAAATGGAAATTGTTGAATGAATTAATATTTTCTTATGTTGATGCACAAAACCGGAAGGTCTTGGAACAACGTAAATCCGACCGTGAATCATGCAAACGCCCAAGAACACAAAGATGTATCGTGGTTCACCCTAATGTTTGGGCTACGTCCACACTGATGTTGATTGTATTTCTCTGTAACTGTATGTATGAATTACAAAGTGTTGTTGTGTTTGTGAGGGTATTGCCTTCTGTTGGGTTCACAGAGGAAGAGAGTTAGGAGAGAGTTTCTGTTTGGGGATGTGAGGATGAGACCCCTCGATTGTGAGGGTGAGGAGTCCCTTTTATAGACTAAGGGCTCCTCCCCTTTTACATAAATTATGGGCTCAATGTCTAGAAGCCCAAGTAACGAGGCCCAATATAATATGGTACCAATAGTAGTCCCCCAAGTCTTCAATCAAGAGAGTCTTTTGGCTGGAAACTTGAAATTCAGTCCATGTGTAGGCCGAAGTAATTAGATGTCGTCTAGAATTGATACTCGATATGAGGCAGTGCTTAATGTGAAATGATGCTCAACTAGAAGTAGCACATGTTGCGAGGTTGCAAGGCTGCTCGGCTTGTGGCTTATGTTGCCTTGGTTGGCTCGACTTGTGGCGTTGAAGGTGAGGGAGTCCCTTTTATAGAATAAAGGCTCGCTTCTCAATACATAAATGATGGGCTAGAGTTGATGTTCCCGGCGAGATGGTTGCTCAGCAGGCGGCGATGCTCTCTAATGATGGTGAGGGAGTCCCTTTTAAAGAATAAGGGTTCGCTCCTCAATACATAAATGATGGGTTAGAATGGATACTCGCGACGATGCAGTTGCTCAGCAGGCGGCGATGCTCTCTAATGATGGTGAGGGAGTCCCTTTTATAGAATAAGAGCTCACTCCTCAATATATAAGTGATGGGTTAGGAGTGATGTTTGCGGCGAGGCGGTTGCTCAGCAGACGGTGATGCTCTCTAATGATGGTGAGGGAGTTTCTTTTATAGAATAAGGGCTCGCTCCTCAATACATAAGTGATGGGCTTAGAGTGATGCTCGCGGTGAGGCGGTTGCTCAGCAGGCGGCGATGCTTTCTAATGATGGTGAGGGAGTCCCTTTTATAGAATAAGGGCTCGCTCCTCAATACATAAGTGATTGGTGCTCTCAAATGAAAGTGAGGGAGTCCCTTTTATAGAATAAGGGTTCGCTCCTCAGTACATAAATAATGAGCTAAGTCCCCCAAGTATTTGTTCATGAGGCTCAGTTGCGGAAGCCCAGCATATGGTACATAATGTAGTCCCCCAAGTCTTCAATCAATAGAGTATGTTGGCTGGAGACTTCAAATTTAATCCATGTATGGGCCAAAATGGCGGTTGTTCAGAGGCGGTCTTTGTATACCATGCACTGAAGCTTTGTACGTGAAGCTTTGAAGTTGGAGCTTTTGTAAATGAAGTTTTAAAGTCAGAGCTTTATAAATGAAGCTTTCGAAGCTGGAGCTTTTGTAAATGAAGCTTTCGAAGTTGAAGCTTTGTAAATGAAGTTTTCGAAGCTGGAGCTTTGTAAATGAAGTTTTCGAAGCTGGAGCTTTGTAAATGAAGTTTTCGAAGCTGGAGCTTTGTAAATGAAATTTTCGAAGCTGGAGCTCTATAAATGAAGCTTTCGAAGCCAGAGCTTTGTAAATGAAGCTTTCGAAGCTGGAGCTCTATAAATGAAGCTTTCGAAGCTAGAGCTATGTAAATGAAGTTTTCGAAGCTTGAGCTCTGTAAATGAAGCTTTCGAAGTTGGAGCTCTGTAAATGAAGCTTTCGAAGCTGATTGACATGAGTGATGCTCATGAATGTTTATGTTGATTGACATGAGTGATGCTCATGGATGTTGACATGAGTGATGCTTATGGATGTTGACATGAGTGATGCTCATGAATGTTGACATGAGTGATGTTTATGAATGTTTATGTATGATTGACATGAGTGATGCTCATGAATGTTTACGTATGATTGACATGAGTGATGCTCATGTATAAATTTGGAGTACTTGACGTACTTTTGATCACCTAGTTGGTGATAATAGCGGCAGGCTGCCGAATAATTTTGGAGTACTGGACGTACTTTTGATCACCTGTTAGTGATAATAGAGGGTGTCCAGTCAGACAAGAGATCACCATGAGCACGTGGCTCATCAATTTATAAGTTGGTAGACTTCTTTAATCAGCAACAATGTTGATCAGTAGATCTAGTTGCTCAATAATTCCTGACAATAAATGACAGTATAAGTATGACTGTATAATGAATAAATCAAATTGACAAAGTTTGTCAAGGCAAGAATATTGTACTGTGTGCCTTCTAGGAATAAATGATTTATTCTGTTGTGTGATAAATGACACGTTGCATAAATCAATAATGTGGTAGTAATCATGTGATATCAGAAATAATAATTATATTATTTAATCATAAGTCATTATGACATAAAAATAATAAAATTATTATTTTATAATTAGTCACCATGACACAAATAAAATAATAAGATATTAAATAAACAATGATATTGAGAAAACACAATGATGTGAAAAGTAAAGCTCTTTTTCTTTTTCTTTTTCCTTTTGTCCCTTCATGATGAAGGTTTCATCACCGCACTATCAGATCATACACATATATTTATCGTGAGGTGCCGCATTATATGCACACATATCATGAAAGCAAATAATATATAGCTAACTGCGCACTAAAATATAAATGTGATAGAAATAAAGTGGTCTCCTCAAAGAATATGCATACTGTAAAGCATCCATCAACACAAGATAATAATAAACTATTAAATAATAAAATGATAATTTTAAACAAATCAGCCCAAAGATAAAGTGCTTATCTTTTTCATGTTGGTGGTCGACAGTTGCAGATTGTTGGTGCGTGCTGCACTTACTGCGTACTGGATCGTTGCAGATTTTTTCCATGTGCGTACTGCGCCTACTGTCTCTGCGCTGATGTCATGCTGTCATGCATGTGCACCTACCCACTTGTAGTCCTACCCAATCAAATCCCAATCTCTCAGATTTTATTCTCTTCTCTTGCCTTGGGCAGATAGGAACCCCTTTATTCAAAGCCATTCGTTGTCGGCATCATTGTGTTCTTCCAGAGAATCAGCGCTGGCACTGCCTCATAGGCAATCCGCTCATGAGCAGTAGAATTATGCTCAATGATGCAAGGAAAGCAATCATGTTGAGGATCATAAACTATCCGTATTGAATTGGCTCTGTAATTGCCATCACTGACTGTCCAGCGTTGTGAAGACGCTCCACAGCGGTGCCATTAGAGTATACCAAGTAGTCATCCTGCCATACACCACTTAGAGGGGATAATTGATAGGAGCATATTTATGCGACTGAGTTAGCTTGTTCTCATGCATTTATGTTGTTATTCCTTAGTTGTTTTAGTGCTTAAAGTCATTTTTGTGCAATTTTAGGTTCAAATGACAAAGTATGCAAAAATGTGCATTTTGGAGCAATTTTGGGTTTGGAATAAATATTACATGCTTGGAACTAAAGGAATGGACGAAATTGAAGACCTAAAGATGAGGATTCCTACTTGAAGTAGGAAAGTTAAGCCAATGTTTCCTATTTTGGTTTGATCTTTCCTAAATCCTAAATGTCCCTAAGTTCCAGCAACATTGAAGGTTTCCTATGCATTTTAGGACACAAATTAAGGGTTCCTTGTACCATAACAAACCTTTGCCGTGCACTCCATCCATGTTTAATTCTTGCATCAATCATCACTTCACTTTCACCTTTGAATCATTTC